TACTGCATTGAATTCTACCGTATTTCGTCACAGTTTGCCATTCTGTTAGACACGCTGTTATTTTGGTTGGAAATTATCATAATTTTTTCCTCTATTTTTACTATTTTGCTGGAGCTAGATATGACAAGTTGAAAAGAAAAAGAATGTCGAAGGTTGGATTTTTTTTCAAGTCAACAGTATATGTAGGAAAAAAGAAAAAACAACAAGCGCAAGCCGAAAAGCAAATAATATGAGAGCAGAACATAGTTGAAAACGAATCGTTTTATTTACCGTCGAGAGTCAATAGTGTAGCGTCTTAGACGATAGGTGTAGCGTTTCATTCGTTGATAAAAGAAGGAAGAAGAAAAAAAGACGTCCTCTTTTCCTTTTGATGGAAATTTACCCACATTAATGCGTATTTGTTTTGAATACTTAATGAATTTTATTCTGCATAGTAATAACAAAATAACACTTTCTGACAAAGGTAAGTCGAGTATGATTTTAGAGTAATTTAAACGAAAATTATTTTTTACACATTGTTATAATAAAACAAGCGGATAATTTTGTTGTAGAAATAATATATTACCTGTCTGTATAAAAGAACACAGTGAACTGATTTTCTAAAGCAGTTATACTAAAAATGAGTTCTTATCGTAATGCTGTCAATTGTAAGAAAGAAATTAGTCATCTTTGCCTTAACCTTGACGGGATATTTTTTTTCGGCGTGGGTGAGATTTTTCCAACTCGTATAGCTGTTCTTTTCTCTCTTAAGAAAAGTTGTTTTTTTTTTATGCGCGTAAAATGAAACATTAAGATGGTTTTGTGAAAGTAAGGTGCAACGAATATCGAATTCGAGTGGATTTGTTTTTCTTGTTCATTTATATACGGTTTGATTTCGATTCGATCGCCATTTTACCAAAAAATGCTTAAAAACTCAAGTAGCTAAGAGAGTAGCATTTACACATGGAAAATCCAGGGGAAAATGTTAGTCTCAATACAATCTATCCATTAAGAAAATCTACAAGAACCTTTTAGGACTATAAATCTGAAGAACTTTGTTAACTTTTCTTCAAGATCCTGTTTCAACATTCAACTAATTCCAATTTGCAGAATATGATATGATGAAACAGGACTCTTATTAGAATTTCTACAAGTTCCTGCTCAGATATTTTTATCAATAGAGCATGAAGGATCCTACCAGAATTCACTCTTGGCCTTACTTAGAAATTTGTTAGGAATAATCAAGAGAATTATGGTAAGATTTTAACGCGTTTTTATCAGGATTCGTTCGGAATCTCTGCTGTAGAATCCTCTCAGCAGTTAAAACTGGTAATACGACTGTTGCTTGTCATCAGCACATGCTCTCTAACAATACTTACTTCCCATGAGCAATGAATAGAACTCCTTTTGAGAATATGAATGTAAGTCTTCTCTTGAGAGTAACAATCAGATCCACATTCACACACTTTTCATATTTCTTATACCTTAGAATTATTCATTTCAGTACATTGGAAATCTCAGAGTTGTAATTGGTCCTGTCCGGCCGGTTTTCACCAGTTATTACCGTTTAAAGAAATTTTTTAATCGAGAAAAATACCCCTGGTCCCCTCAGCACTTAGTTAAAAAATGACTTTCAGAATTTTCTAGATATACAATTTTTTCTGAGTAAAATATATCGAGCGCAATTTTCAGTTATTTTATCAAAATAATCGTATTGTTTCAAAAGTCATCGGTTTTTATTTTCTACTGTTTGTCTTAGCTTTTTTATTTTTTATTTTATCGAAGTTGATTTCATTTCATAAAAAGCACAATCAAAACTGTGTTACTTGGAATAAAGCTCTCAACATATCTCATTGATTGTTTGTTAGAGGTTAAATTTAAGGTTGAATCGTCGTTTGAAGAGAAACATAGGTTTTTTCTGTAAAACCCAAGTGAAAAAACTCAAGATTTGCAGATTAGCAATCAAGTGTCGAGTACATAAGTCTTTTTTCTCACAAAAAAAACATCGCATATTCATCTTTAGGAAAATTGGCAGATATATATGACTATAACATCATATTTTCTCTTGAAGATCAATAAAAACCTGAGCAAAAAATACGAAAATGAGTGTATTTTTAATCCTCTCCTTATAACCGTCAGTAAATGAGCAAACAAACAGGTCAAGTTTTGCCCGTTTTTACCGATCTGAAAAATTTTTTAGACCGGCTAGTCGTGGACCGGATCGAACCGGTGTAAAAATATCCGACCGGCTATGTAAGACTCTCGTTTGGGGAATGTATAGTAGAATTAATTATTTAGTCTGGTTAAGAATTAGAGAGCTTGCGTAGATTGTCGACCTTGCTTTTTCGTCGTAACATATTCATAAATTAAATATAATATTATGTTTAATGTGTTTTATTTCGAGAAGAACCAAACATAACAATCACCAACAACCAAGGATATGACAATAATAGAAGATAATGATGAGGAGAAAGACGTGTGGTTAACGAAGAAAAAACAAAACAAACTAAACAACTGGGGAAAACTTGTTCATATATCTGAACGAGAGAGAGAGAGAAAAAAGAAAAAAGAAATAATATAGACATATATATGTTGGAAAACATCGAACCTCACATAGGTTACGTAAAGAAGAACGAAAAGAAAGAAAAAGGTTAGCGACAACAACGTAACATCTATTGACGCTAACAGGTTACAACTCTGGAAAATCTCATTTGTGTTTCTGATCATTTGTTTTGTGGTTTCAAGATGAATTGTCAATAATTGCAAAATTAGTGTCAGATTCTCTTTTAATTTAATTTTATTTATGACAATATTTTCAGCTTATACTTCGATTGAAGAAAAAATCTTGAACTTTTCGCATGACCCCGAAATAGATACATTACGCACTGTTCCGTCCACGAGGATCTTACTATCACGGAAACTGTTGTCTGAAAGTGATGTAACTATCGAAGAAAATATCAAGTTAGCTGATCAACTGTCTGAACAACACGAACATACTCGCTTTATGCGTAGCAATGGTACGGAGTCAGCTCTAATTGCCAGAAATATTTATATATGTGGTACATTTTATACTATAAAAAAAATAATTATCCTTCTTCTTATATATCCAGAGTAGGTTGTGGTATCCTTGTAGTACTCGGGTTCGGTCAGATGTATTCGTCATTACGAACTGCTCTGATCGAATATTTAATATCTGAAGACATAACCTTAATTCTTTTCTCAACACAAGAGCAATTATGGCTTGGTTAGATATCAATTTTTAAATAAGAGACGTTTTTCTGGCTATTTCAGAAAATCTTAATATATCATATATTGTATCCCGCATTTATGCATATTTTAGTGTTTGTTCCATGTTTGTGCGTTGTAGAACAAATGAATTGAATACTTTGAAGCAGTTTGCAAGATTTTATACCAAAATCAATGGTATTTATGATGATGATGCACGTCTTCTCATCAAATTAGTCATTGATCTTGCACTTTTCTCAGAAGAAAAAGGCGATCAACAAAGAGCGGATGAAAATAATGAATTAAAAGCTCAAAGCAATCATCATCGTGTGCTTAAGCTGTGCGCATTGACGAGAAATCTTTAAAATATATTAGATTGTCAGTAAATGAAATGTTCCGTTTGTTGTGTCACATTTCGCACCATTATGATTCGATGTGACACCTTGCGGTTCAACGGCTTTTTTCGTCTCTTGACGTATTGTCTATTTTGTAAAGCATTGGCAAATGTACAAAAATAAGTGATTGTCATCAGTTTTTTGTATTTTCAAAATCGTTTGTTAAACGAATATCTCATGAAAAATTTTCCTCTAAATATCATATGATGCTTTATACGAGTTTCCGAGAAAGTAGATGACTTTCCGGAAGTTAAATGGTGCTATAAAAAACAAAATACAATTTTCGCAAACCATTGCAGTTTCCCACAATGAAATGTACAGTGGTAACATAACTCATATACAAAGTATCTCTTGATATGGGTACTGCGGATGTGAGTGTGGATGTGGGAGTTCACTTCACATGCATCTACACTTGGATGCATACTCACCCTCATGCATCGTTCATTATGTCTTCTTCATAATACGGCTTATCCATGTAACACATCACCTTCAATGCCGGTAGTTTGAAAAATCAGGTCTAAATGTCACCAGTATTATCCAATATAATAAAAGAGAAAATGTGTAAAAGCTATTTGAGGTTTTCAGAACATGAGATTTAACTCGCATTTATTCACTATTGTGAATACGCTAATAGCAAAAAAAGCGTTTTATTTTTCTAATTTTCGTCATCGCGTTACAAAATCGTCATCGCGTAACGTTAACGTGACCAAAGTTTCACTATTAGTGAGAGACCTTTTCGAAAAAAACTTTTTTCGCATTAATACTCCAAAGTGTTTACTACAAATCTATTGTGAAATATTCTGTTCAAGATAATATACATTTGGAGAAAACCAAAGAACGAGTACAACACCCTCAAATTTTTGTCCCTTGTCCATCATCGCGTTACGCTGTATATTTTTGCTATGATTTTCAGAATGCTTTGATAAATAAACTCAAATTTACTGGATTCCAAGAGTACATAAGGAGNTAAAAATTTTTATAACAGGATATTTATTTAAATTGATTTGCATTAGACTTTAAGTCATCCGGAAATATCCTGTTATAAAAATTTTTATTGCCAAGCAAAATCGACTAAGTATTGAATCAGAAAAATTTTGTTTGAGTTGTTTTACGAAGCTTGATAGCATACTTTTAAAATTGCGATCCTTTTTCTTCGTAAGAGTATTAAGCAAAAGATTAAAACAGTCTCTTTTTTAATCTGTTCTAGGCATTGATATTTCATATATGTTCCGCAAAATGACTACGTAACAGAAAAGAAGAAGACTCATCAGGCTATATAGAGAAGAATTAGACTTCCTTTTTTTTTTCTTCTACTTTTTCATGACTCTTAACTATTCTCACATTTAGCATTGTTTCTCATACTAACTTTATTGTAATAAAAAACCTAGCGTCGTATTAATCATGATTGACAATCAAACAATAAACGATACTGGTTCATATGAATATGAAGAAATTCTTGTTCCATCAGCTCAAGTACAATTTTGGACATATATTATATTTCAAGTTCCATCAATTTTTTGTACTTTATATCTTCTTTATTATTTAATATTTAATCGACGTTTACGTAGACAATTACATAATCATGTTGTAATTGTTGTACTTATTCTATGTTTTATTATTTTAGTTGCTGATAATTCATTATATCTTGATGGATGGCGTATAGGTCAAAAAAATTCATTTCCATTTTCATCAAGTGTTTGTCTTGTTTGGTGGTTTATTGATTATGGATTTTACGGTGCAATATCTATATTTCTTTTCTGGGCTTCATTAGAAAGACATATACTTGTATTCTATCGACGTCGATATTTAAATACACCACGTAAAATATTTTACATACATTATTTTCCTTTAATAATTATTTCAATTTATCTCATTGGATTTTATACTAGTGCAATTTTATTTCCACCATGTAAAAATATTTTCCATTATAATTATTTAGCATGTGGTTCAAATCCATGTTATCATGATATAACATGGATAAATACATGGGATTATTTATTTAATGGAGTTCTATGTAATGTTTTAGAAGCCTTTTTTAGTAGCTCATTACTAGTTCGAATAATATGGAGAAAATTCTACTCAACAAGACGTTTTAATTGGAAAAGATATCGAAAAATGGCTATACAATTACTGTCAATTTCATCTCTGTCTTTATGTATTAATCTTCCTCATTCATTAATTATTCTTATACGACAAATTCAGCCGAATATGAGTGATTTTGCCATTGATACTGAACCATATTTTTTCTATTTTACTGGCTATGTTGTTTTATTATTGCCATTTGTTTCTCTTGGATGTTTACCAGAATTATGGCCAAAAAGATTCTTTTGTAGTCAACGAAGTCGACGTATAGTAGGTCCTACGACAATATCTGCTGGTGCTGGATTTGGACCTTTAGTACGAACACACGACAGTTAACTTTCTATTTAAATGAATATAAAAAAAGAAGATTTTAATCAATAAAAATAAACTAAAAGTTGCCTTCTTTTTTGTATACTATAAAATTTGATTGATACTAATGGTGAATATTAATAAGAAATTATCAGCCTAATGACTATTATTCATTTCAAAAAAAGAAGAACCATTGATAATTTTTGAATAAGTTCTGAGAGGAACAAGAGCTGCGTTTTTCATCGTTACAACGAGATGATCCAGACATATGAATATGTGCTAAAATTTGATGGACCATCATCAGATCACTGAAATTACTTGTCAGTGGATAGCTTAAAACTCATATTCGGGATTCATTTTTCAGTTAATCTTGATTGTTAATATTATGATTAGACAGGAAAACTTGTTCTCTTTCTATTTGCACTTGGCTGACGTTGCTAGCTTCTTCTGTTCAAGAATTGTAAATGTTTTCTTGAAACATCTGATTTCAGCCAATCCATCTGGGATCATTCGGAAAAGCTTCTAGTCAAGGTTTGTTCACTATGCTGAGTCAAATGACAATATTTATCTTTTTTTTGGATTCGAAATGATCTGACACAGTTGTTTTATTATTTCAAAAGTGTTACAATCCGCCGCTATGTAGCATAATAAATCTACATGTTGAAAATATTGAGATAACAGTGTTAGATCATTTCAAATCTGAAAAAAAAAACAAATATCACCATTTGACTCAGCATAGTGAATGAACCTTGTTTAGATACTTTTCGAGTGATCCTTGATCAATTGGCTCAAAGCAGAAGTCTCAAGAAAACTTTTTTCGACTTGAATGGAATCAGCTAACTATATCAGTGTTGTGTAGATCGAAAGAGAATAAGTTTTCCTATTTGTTGATTATATTAACAATCAAAGTCAACTAAAAAATGGGTTCATAATATGATTTTTAAACTATCTACTAATAAGTAATCTAAATGGCCTTGTACTGGTCAATCAAATTTTAGTATATATTTATGTGCCTGGATCTTTCTGTAGTAGTGGTGAAAGCCCGCAGCTCTTTATTTCTTTCTATTAAAAGTTATTCAAAATATACCGATGGCTCTTTTTTTTTAAAAACAGATAATCCTTGTTTGTTAGTTGCTGAAAGGTTGAAAATTGTCCTTTTCATCCATTATCCTTTAATATTCTCCATTGACTTTCAGTGAGGCATACGTCGGCAAATTTAGCGTCTCCTGCTTGAGGTAAAACTCGATTATTAAATAACTCATCAATAGTTCAAAATACAATCTTTGCTTTGTTCCGCACACAACGTCTTCATACATTTTCTTCATCTCAGTTCGATTACTGAGTATATAGCTTGACTGAAGATCTAACCAGTGAATTATCATGAGCACCGAATAAACGAAAAAGATCATTTAACCATTGGTATCTACTGCGCCTTGTTCTATGTAGAATGTTTCAGCATTTTATTTAAAAAATCATGTTGATTGATTGCGAAAACTTTTTCCACATATTCTCATGTTTATACCATTATTATTAAAAGAGAAGACGTTATTTAATAATAGGTCATAGAGAAGACTGACGCAATTGCTAAAAGTTCATAGAAGAAGAATTTGGCTAGGAGTTAATTTCCTTCTATATAGAAACTAATGTTGTGTCGCATCAAGACTTATGAAACACCTTGTGTATACTGAATCATCTTTAGCTAATTTATCTTCAAGTTCAACATTAGATATCTTTATATATAATCCAAAACTTTTTAATGGTTTATACAATTATTTCCCTCACCATTCTAATTTTATTAATGTCAAACAAAAGAAGAGGATTTGCATGTGTAAATTTTGTGATCAAAGTCATTCATGATATTTTCTCAGCCGCTGCTTTTTCGTTTATTGATGATAAAATATTTTTCTTTATATGATTTATACAATGAAAAAGTTTAATACTAAAAAATTTATTTAAGTCGCTGTATAACATATAGTAAATTATTTGTGTGATTTATTTGTTTTCAACTATCGATTTTGACGCAGATTATCGAATAAAATGAGAAAATACCACCCATGCACTATCTCATTTAAATACTATCAAATACTTAGAACGTCTTATTTTCTTTTTTGAATCTAATTGTTTAATAATTTCAACCAGTAATTATATAAAAACATAATCTTCATTACAATTTCCTTGAATTATAACTGATAACAAGCACTAACGATTTCGATTGATCTTTTAAAATCTTTTGTCACTACAAAAACAAATTTAAAAACTAAGTAATAAAAACGATTGGCCCATAAAGAATAGACCTCTCAGTGTTTCACATATATGTTGATAATATTAAAAACGCGAAAAAGTAAATTCTTTTTGCTGAAGATGTACCATTTAAGTTTCTACAATCTTACATTTTTCGACTAGTTCGATTAAGATTCGTTATTTTGGAATTGACGATGAAACAACTATGTTTACAATCCACAACTTTCAAAAAGAGGCTTGTCGCTAATTTTTGTTCTATGCACTTTAACTTTTAAGTTCTTTTTTAAGTCTCTCAATTAGTTTCAACTAAAAAACTACAAAAAAAAGAGAGGCTAATACCTGCTGAATATTTTCCCATCATCGTTCGAAATTATTGAAAGTCTTGACAAATCCTAAAGGAAGACTTGATGAAAATTTCACATTATAAATAGCAATAGAATACATTTTCATGTATCAAAAATAATCTTTATTTAGAAACAAACAAATCCACTCTAAATTTTTTAAAATACATCATTAATCATATGTTTTTATTGCTTGTTATTTCAAACCAATGGGCATGGGAAAGAAAAACTTACTCAACAGTTAAAGCAAACAGAATAAACATTGGCAAAGAAGCTTCTTGTTGAAAGTTGTAGATTGTAGACATATTTATTTCGCCGTCAATTTCAAAATAACAAATCGTAATTGAACTAGCTGAAATATGTAAGAGAGTGGAGAATGAAGTAACGAGTACTATGAAATATTTATCATAACGGATGAATCGAAACTTTTGAAAGAAAATGACTCTTGATTTTTCTACCAATAAAGGCAATCCTCAGGAGCTATAAAATATTGGTCTAAAATTAGAATTTTGTATTCTTTCCAAATCTAGCTTCGGAATTTTTATTACACTCATATTATAGAAGTTATTATTCCATCAGTGGATGGTTTGAAAATAAAATTTATTTCAAATATATCAAAAGAAAAAGCAAACCTTTTTCTACAAAATAGTCTCATGATGATAAGTTTTCCGTAAGATGTCTACCAGGAATGCGCAAGTGTTGAAAGAGACACAGTGACATGCTGTGCAAAAGATTGATATAAAAACATATGCAAAAGCAGACATTATTTGTTAAGAAGAACGTCCGTTATGGAAGAACAGATTTGAAAAATATTCAAAACTTCATGCAATCAAACTAAAGGAAATGACAGTCAGGATCTCTATGCCAGAATTACGAAATTCTTAAAAAACATCATGGAAAAAACTTCAAACAAAATACGGTCTCAATTTTTATAGCTATTGTTGATGATTTTCATCATTAAAAAAAAAAACTTTGTCTTAAAACTTTCGATCGATCCATTATAATTCATAATCCATATTGAGTTTTCTTTTGTTTCAATAAACATATTAATTAATTAATAATGTAGGAATTTTATAAAATTTCCCTTATGTTATTTATACTTGTTTAATATAGCATTTCTCTTTAATGATTTGATCAAAAACAGCAAAATAAATCAAATCATATATCACAAATGCATTGAATGTATATTAGAAAAAATTAAAATAAAATAATTATAGAAAAACATATTTGTTTTTGTTTTGTTTACATATATATATATATTAATAAACAAATAACGAAGTATTAACAACAGTAACAGTATTCGTTGTGGTAGTTTTTATTTTTTGTAACGAACCATCATGAGTATATGGCACAAGATAAATTTCCGAAAACTAAATAATAAAAAATTTACAATAAAATTTTTATTTTTATTTTTTGAATTTAATAACTAACCATATATTTACTCATGCAAAGTAATATAGCATTAATAAATGACCAAAGTGATAAGGTTAAAAGTAAAAATGTAGCAGTAGCTAATGTCCATCGTTTGCAAGTCATTTAATCTGATTCTAGTTGAACTTAAATCATAATAACCAATCATATGTGATTAACAATGCCTCTATTATATGTCGACTATGATTGGTCAAAAAAAGAATCTCCTAGTTCCTTTACATTGTCGATAGGTGAAATGTTTAGCCTTGTACTCCCTAGAAAAATAATATTGCATTGAAATTTCAATAAAGTTGACGTGTGGCTTCACTTATTATTTTAATTCATCAATAAAAGATTGTCATTAAAATGTAGGAAAAATGTATAAGTTTTGTATATTTCATATAATGAATTTTATTTTATTTGTTTTATCTCAATAATTTCATCAAAATAGAAAACGAAGTCTTAAAAATTATGTTTTTCTTTTTAGTTATTATTTGAATATAATTTAGAGTCTAGAAATGTAGACATATGTCCTTATTAATGGTTATAATGTGACTTTATCGAAGTATATTTATTATTTTAATTAGTCTATTAAGTTCTTTTTCAATTCTTGAATTAATTCTAAATGATTTCTTTAAAAAAAGTGCATTAAATGTTCTTCTAAAGACAAGGTCTTTATATTCCCTAGTCTTTAATCTATTGATAAGTATGTATTCATTTGTAACTATGATTTTAAAAGAATAATTGATATGTTTCATATATTCTTTTATAAAGTAAAATTCTTATTCATAATTTCAAGGTTATATCTACAAAGAATCGAAAATGAAATTTACATGTCAAACAGAGAATAATCCTTTGATCAATATACATATTTTTCATATCAATCATTTATGCATGTTTTTTTTTTTCTGATACTGTACATATTTTTTCTTATTCTTTTCACCAATCGTAACTATTTTTAGTAATATACAATATAAATTGCTGTGTATGTGATACTTCTTACTTTTGATATCATGCTAAAATGATTGTTTATCATGATATTATTATTATTATTATATAGAGTGATTCATCGGAGACAATTCATTTCTTTCGTTATTTCGATTCTTACTAATGCGCATTTATGTCTGAAGCAAGTGTACGTAGGAGTCGAGCATTTGCCCGCCAAGTGTACATATATACACATAAATAGACTCATACAAGCGTAGAACACGACAACAATGTCGACGGCTTACTCATTGTACATATTCATCGACATAAATTTCTCAGTAAGAGAAAGAAAAAAAAACCACACAATAGTTACTCAGATGTGTCGCTTGTCTGTCCTCTTTCGGTCTCCTTTTTTTTTTATACTTTTATTCTTTTTTCTCTGTCGTCGCTTTATGTGCACACAAGGCAATAGCGGCCAAAAAAAAAGTAGAGGAAAAGAATCTATGTATGCATATTTGTATACATACACACACACACACACATAACTTTGCGGTGACGGTAAGAATTTGCATTTGCATCGAATGAAAAAGAGAAGAAAAACCCTGAAAAATACTTCAAATACTTGTTTATTCGCTTATCAATATACTTTTAATTGTATTAACAATATGTTACCTGGTTTATCTTTTTCTTATATTATAAATATTCTACATACTATTCTTCTAATTTCTAGATGGCAAGAATGCGTCATCTTCTATCAATTCTATTTATAATATTATTAATTGAACTAACTCACAGTCAAGTAACATTTGACTCTATATGTTCACCGGATGTTGAAGTCACTGGAATGTCATCAACGGATGGTAATGCTGAATATACAATAGATATTTCTGACCCAAGATTTTCACCTGACGATGAAATTTCTGGTAAGAAATGATTTTTAATATTATATTTATTGATTTTATTTTATTTTATTTTCCTTGTTTTTTTTATTGCTCTAGTGTATTTAAGACAAGTTCGTCCAAATTATGGAATTAATGAATTTGTTATAGGTGCATTTGATCATGAGGGAAATGTTGTTGGTCGATTTGATGATCCACAAATAGGAAATTTAGTTTTAAAACATCATACATGTCCAAATGGTGCTACTGTAAGAATTTTATTTAAAAACAAAAAAAAAAAATAATTTATTTTATTTTGTATTTATTTAGGCTGTTTATGCTGATCAAGTCGATAGTCGTGGTTATCGTGAAATTCCATTAAAATGGATAGCGACTGGTGTTCATCAAAATCTTGATGAAATTATTTTTAGGTAAATTTATTAGATTTTATTATGTACTATTGTTTTTTTCTTTCATTTTAGAGCGGCTATTGTTTCCAATCGACAATTATATCGAGTGAAAGCAGCTCCTTTAAAACGAGTAAATATTGTTCTGTTTTTTTTTTGATAATAAATTTTATTTATTACTCTCTTTTATTTCTTTGTTTTATAAAGCGTTTACCACCTGGAACAATTCCTTATTCACAAGATCAATCAATTAATCTTGATTATTGTGGTGAATCTCAAGGTTGTTTAATTGTTCCACAACAATGTAATAAGGCTGGCAAATGTGACTATGCACTTTCATGGCAAGGTCTTGATGATGAAAGAGCTAAATTTCATATTGTTGCAAGAGCACAAGGTTTTGCTGGTGTTGGATTTTCAAACGATGAAAGACGGGTAAGAATAAAAGTTAAATTTGACGATTGAACATGTACAACCATCCATAGGACTAGATGCTTTTAAGAAACACATATGAATCTAGGAAGTCATAAACAATCTGAAATTCTTCAAGATTTTACGGTTTCTAATCTATTTTCATATTGTACAATTTTGTTTTTTAGTTTTTCTCATATAAATCATGTTGAGAGATTTGTGGGGCTCGTATCACGGCAAAAAGAAAGTTGTCCTAACGGAAACAGAAAATTATAGTTAAATACTGTATGATTGTAAGCGAGGGAATTGTTCTGTCAATCATAACAATCATAATATAAAGCAACAGAGATGACATAAAAAGTACTAGTCGTCGACTGAATAAATAAATAAAACAAGTATCGAAGATTTTTTTTTTTAATGTAAATTCTAGAATAGTTTTCTCTCGACCGAAATCAAATAAGACTTACTAAGACTATAATTAGTATCACTAGAAAAAAATTACCGACATAGATACAACACGATGTGTGTAGTTCAGATCGGATTGGACCAGCCAATCGATCTGAAATCCATACGAACAGTAGATTAACGTGAGATACTAAGACAAAAAACTTAATAAGACATACCGATAACCAGTGCTTCTTCAAAAAACCTTGGTTCTGTACATCTCTAATTATGGCACTCAGAGCTATTGTATAGAAAATAAACACATAAAAACTGGAATAAAATCAATAGTTAAAAACAAAGAAGACCGTTTTTATACGTTGACAAACTTCGACAACTATGACATTTTTCAACACTTAAGAAATTTCTTATCGTTTAATGTCACAACATTCTCCATTAATTAACGATAATCTGCAACTATTAAGAGGATAAATAAAGCTTACTTTTCTCCATCATTAGAATTTCAAAGTAAAATAATGAATCCAATTTTTTATATGTTTTGAACAGTTTCTAGTTGAATGATGATTTGAATTTCATAATACTCAAAGAATTATTTTTCTTTTTCGTTAATTCAAGGGTGATGATCAAGTTATTTTATGTGCAAAAGATGCTCAAGGTCATGTCAACGTATATAATATGTTTGTTAGTGTTCAAAATCCACAATATGTCTTTCGCGGACGACCATCGTATGGTTTACAAGATGCAGAAGGCTATTCTAATGGGTCGCATATTTTTTGCAAATTTGAAAAAGGTTTATCACCACATACAGATGACTTAGTCGAAGATGATGGACGAAATCGTGGTAGAATTGATCAAGATAAATTAGTTGATTTACGAAAAGAACATTATATGTATCCAATTTTTTCTGATGGAGATTTATCAACACCACAAAGTATGTAAAATATCTAGAGAAATAGGACAAGATAATGATTTTGTTTTAGGAATGCGTATTCCTATTCAAGATATTTCAATTGTTAATAATCATCCAATTAATTTTCAACGTCGTCTTTTACAAAAATCACATCCACAAGCTGGATCTGTTCTAGCTAAAATTCATGGTAGAATAAATTAGAATGATATAAGTCTTTTATTTTGTGTTTCGTTTTTTTTTTTGTCTAGCTATTTTAAATATAATTGCTTGGGTTCTTCTTGCATCAGCCGGTGTTATGGTTGCTCGTTATTTTGATTCAATTTGGCCAGAATATGAACGACGAGTTGTTACAGATGGTACGGGAACTGTAACAGGAGAACAAATTCGACGACGTAGACGATTTTCATATTTTACAGTAATTAATTATAATCATTTCTTTTGTAGCTAAAATATAATTATTTCTATTTATGTTTTGTTTTCTTTCAATAGATTGTTCCTCCAATTATGATTACTGTAGCTATATTAACATGGATTGCATTTTTTTGTATTCTTTTTGAACTCAATTGGAGATGGACACAAGGAACACATCATCTATGGCATTCAATTCTTGGTGTTATTGTACTTGTTTGTGCTTTTCTTGCTGTATGTAAAAAATTATTTTTATTTATTTATATCGTAGGAATTAATGGAAAGACGAGAATATATATGTACATGACTTTGTTAGACTATTACTTTTCGAGAAATTTTATTTAAAAGTAATGTTATCGTTTCAGAAAAAAAGTCCTTTTCAATTTAGTATATGATATTACATTTCAAAACATAGTTTAATCTCAAAAAATGTCGACACATATATTCTTGTAGCCATTTTGAAACAGTATTTAACTGAATGAAAAATATTAAAAGAAATTCTATTATGATATTATTCATATTTTAATTTTTTTTAGCCAATTGTTGGTGTTTTGCGACCAATACCTCGTACAAAAGCTTATTGTGTTTGGTACTGGATTCATTGGTTGATTATATCATTAGCTCATTGTCTTGCTATTCCGGTTATATTTTTGGGTATGGATAATCATCGTTTAGATTTATGGACATGGTGTTCATGGTTATTATTTGGTTGGTGTATATTTCATTTTATTATTCAACTTATTTTTGAAATTCATGCTTGCTGTTATGCAAGACAAGAATATGAACGTAAGTAAAAAATTTTATTTTGAAATAATAAGACAAAAGATATATCGATTTCATTTGAATTTTTTCGTTTTAGCTGTTGAAGGAGATCATTATCCACAAAAGATATCAGGTCAACGTGTAAGACATGAGCGTGTACCTGTAAGTAGAACATTTCTTATTAATAGAAATATATATTTTTTTAATTTTTTTAATAAAAAGGGTGAATCATGGAAACCAGCATTATTATCTATTTATTTACTTGTCACATTAATTGTGGTTATTATTCTTATACTTGCTGTTATCTTTTATCAAGGTTATTAGACCTTGCATTTTTTTTTTCTTAAAATATAATGACTTTAATCTGACTAATCGAACATTTGTGTGTATACTGCTTGAGCAATAAGAGAAATATACTCATATTGTTTTCTTTTTAATCAAGATTAGATTAGATAAGAAGTGTGTCTTTTATTGTAGAACTTTTCTTTTGTTTTTTTAACAGTATTCTTATAATAATATTCTGGTTTTGCTTCTCCATTTTCTTACATGTGTGACAGTGAATGTTTGAAAAAATAAATTTTCCTTTTGTTCTATAGTGAAGAAAAGAGATTTGAAGTTTTAATATATGTATGAATGAAATCGTATAAAAAATTACGATACGACAAGAAGAAAAGGTTTGATGTCATTAGACAAATTTTTCTAAAATTTATTGACAAAATCAGAGAAACATAGCACATGATCATTTTTCACTTAACTTTGATTACTTATTAGGATTACTTTGTCTTGTTTTTGAACAAGTTCGTTTCTCTTGAATATATGTAATAATACTGGCTCTTTCAGATCACACTTAATTAGCTAATTAATAAAAATATAATTAGCAAATAGTTCTCTAAATTTATGACGAATAAATTCAAGAATTATAGGAGAGACTTCACACCATAAACTATATCTATGGTGAAATTTTCAGAAAGATCGGACACCAAAAACTCGCCTCTAAAAAACTGGTTTTCTCGAGGTATGCTCATGTCCTAGAGAGAGAGCTTTTTGTTTAACTATCATCTCAAAATTCGTCAATAAGGATTTATATCATATAGGACTAGTTTTTGAATCTCTCATTCAGTTAAAAAAGGAATTTTGCGTTTCTATATTCGTCCTCATTTACGTCGCTAACAACGAAATAAACTCAATGTTTTGTAAAATGTAAGCATATTCAGGAAAAACTTGAATAGTGATTTTCTAATTTGAAGAGTTCTCGACTATACGGCTGTTTTTCAAGATATCTAGAGTAACTCAACATACATCTCTGACATAAAAATTAGCTAAAGGAAATTTCAGAGTCTAGATATATATGGATTTTTTTGTTTTGCGAAATCAGATCGTTAATAAATGGAATCGTGTTTATATTAATGTTAAAGAAAAGGTAAAATTACATATAAAAAAAAATTGTTCTAATATTTCACAACGAATATTTTCAAAATTTGCCTTTAATCTTGAAAAAATAAATTTTAGACACTCGTTCTCCCCTGTCAGCAAGGGTGATTTTCATTACAAAATTTGATTTCGAAATTTTTATATCATTGGATAATTCGTACGCTGCACGTTCGAAAACACCATAATTAATAGAGTTTATGATACTTTTAAATGTATATATATATGAATTTCATTGAAGCTATAAATGAGATTTAAAAAAAGTATTTTTTGAATACTTCAATTATTTATATTTAAGATGAATAAATTTTTTTTGTTTTTATTATTAAAGTGGATAACTGCAGTTCATATTCAACTAAAAGTTATTTATAGAGAATTATATTTTTGTTTTGGAGACTAAGCCTCACCTCGCAATATGATAATAAAGTGATCAAAACAATTTCGTCAACGTCGAGAATAGATCGAAGATGAACTATGACCTGTAACTGAGACGAAATCTGAAAATATCGGCAAAACTCATAATCTTATCAATGATGATCCTCATGTTACACTTGATAATATACAAGTGAAAATTGGTTTTTGTAACAATACTATCAAGTTCATCATTTCTGACCTGATGAAGCTAATAAGAATACTATTCATTGGACATGAAATCAAATGATAGGTACTCAACAAGTTGAAAGGGACCACATGTATATAAAAAATTTTTGATTAAAATTTGGGCAAGAAATATAGTGGTGATCTAACGGAATGACTGTTGATGAGTCATGTAGTTTTTAAAATGTTGAACAATTTTTAATAATTTCATTATCATTTTTGATTGATTCTTAAACTCATCATGAGTCTTATAATGAAATATTAATTATAAAACTTGTAGATTTGAAAAACAAATAGAATTTGTTTTTATCCAACTATTGATAAATGTTTTCTCGTTGAAATCTTTTACATTGAATATTGCAGTCAATTCACTTTTGTATAGATGAAAATTCAGTATGAAGTATAAATAAATATTGTAAATTTAGTAAAACATAAATAAAACATTGTTTCAATTTCTTTATTCCTTTCTGTTGATGACGATCGATAGACCAAATAGGATCTAAGTGAAATTGGTTTTGAAATGTTAATATAAGATAGCACGTAGGTCGTACTAAAAGTCGTAGCGAAGGTACTTTAATTCCTGTTAAAAAGCTTAAAGAAACTTTCTCTACAAATGGACTGATAGTAAAAATGATGCTCTATTTTTCAGTGATCTTGCATTGCTCTTCAACTAATATCAGATCATATTTGTCTTCGGCGTGTATTTTCTTCTTGATCTTTTCTTTGTTCTTCTCCACTCTTTTTCTTCGTTCTTTCTTGTGATACCTACCCATTTCTAATAAGAGATCACATTTTCATAAAGATGTGTCCAATCATCTTAAGTCGAACGGTATGACAATAAGGCTACATTCACCTAATTTTTCTGATCTGATACTATGTGGTTTTTGATCGTTCGACTTAATCAAACAAAATCTAGCGATTAAAACGAAACAGAATCGTTGAATCGTGTTGTAAAAAGCTTCATGAATTCTTCTTATAAAGAAGATTATAGAAAAAGGTTCGATAAATGGACTCAACGAATACAACTATGTGTGGATAACCACGGTAATTATTTCGAACATTCGATGGACTACAAACTCAATGAATTTATTTCTGTATTTCTTTTTGTTATTTTGGCACTACTTTCTGTGTACTTTAATGTATGTAGACAGTTAGATATTAAAGAAAACGAGAAAAAAGCTATTAGCTCAATCCCTGTAAAATTAAAGTGTGAAACACAATTGGAGTCAATTGAGTGCGATTCCGTGTCCAATAAATTTTTATCCATCGGGTACGGATTCGAGTTCACAAATTCTTAGACTCTATGGGCTCCACGAGGGAGGGCAGGTCGGATCTGTTGGGCTCTATCTGTGACGGTCTATTGGTCCCGTCTGTCATTGCCTGTAAGGAGAGGGGTGTAAATTTCTACCTGATATACTTTAAGACTGTTTTTGAAGCGTGTTTCACAAAAGAGAGAATACACCCTGAAGACAAATATAGTCTGATGTTATTGTCACATATCATAACAAATAACTTTTATCGCATTTTTATGATTATGATATCAGTCGAAGAATGATGCAAAATCATAGAAAAATAGAGCGTCATTTTTGCTATCAATCCGTATAAAGAAAGTTTTTTTTTTAAAGTTTTTTAAAAGGGATTAAAGTACATTCATCACTGCTGTTGGTGCAAGCTAAGTATATTCTTTCAATGATGATTAAAAAAGATTACAATGGCAAGGATTAATAGGTTGACATTAATTACACGAAGATGCCATTCAAGTGGTTTGATTTTTTTCTAATTTAAATTTTAAGTAGAACTTTTTAAATTCAATGATCATAATATTTAATTATTGATATTATTCTTCCTCAGGATAAGATGGATCTGGTTGAATATTTAACAAAAAATAGTATTTGGTGTATATTTCATAAGAAGAAAAAAAACCTTTAAGTTGGCATAAATTTAATGTTAATGAATAAGTATCGAAATTACATTTCTACTCATCTATTTTTCTTTAATTGAGCCTTCTTCATAATAGTAAATATTTAAATAGTTACAATTTATTTTCATTACTACATATGTTTTTATATAATATTTGTTTATCATTTGGTTTAAAATCATTTAGGTATCATTTAGATAAAACTTCATCATGGATTTTTAATGTATATAACTTTCGAAAACGTTGATTTGGTAATATCAATATTGATTGTTTATCATTCACATGGAATATGGTGAAAAGATGGTGATCGATCTTAGATTTGAAAATAAATCTAACAGTAAAATTGAATAATTAATATTGCTTATCAAAGATCGCATTGATGATATAATAATTAAAAATTTTTGCCAGAAATCTAAATTTGATATTGAATAATTTCAAAGGATTGATATAATCCTTATGTTTAATTTATAATTTTTTAAAATTATTCATTTAAATTTAAACAAATATATCAATAATTTCATTAAATAACAAATTGTTACATATCTCAAAAATAATTAGCATCCGTACTCGATTCAACTATATTGTTAATATAATTTTCATTAGAATATTATCAGAAATTTTAAGTCAGTGTAAAATGAAAGGTGTTTTTTTCTCTTATGATTGAATACAACAGATTTCTACTGATATAATAATAACAATGGATAAAATAACTTTGTTGTATTAAATTTCTCGAATGACTAACAATGAAATATGTAAATCAATAATGTTATGTTATCATTATATATGTTAAATTTGAACGTTGAACTTCAAGTTTCAAGCTTCAATTTTCAAATAAAGAAAGCCACTCTCTTGATGCGGGTGTCATGGAAATATAGACAATTGAAATTTAAAACCTTAGCAGTAGTTGTTCAACTGAATCTGACTTTCAAGTTTGAGACTACCCCAGCAGGCACGATTTTGCAAAGAAGCGTGTAAATATTCGAAAATAGTCTTTTCTAAGCGTTTAAGCGCATGTGGACAAAAATTGGTGGTCTAAACACCAAAAAATCCAAGTAACAAGTGTGAAAGCATGTACAGTACTTTTATCGAATATGTATAGATGTGTGAAAATGTTAAAAAAGTTTGTTTCATGAACATGCGCATGTTTACACTTCTATCTTGCACAGTTGGCAATCACACGAAAGTCTAAAATTTACGCATTTTTACTGTCGTGATTAGAACGATAATTGATAACCGTGTTACCACTTCAAGAATAAATGTTTTGATCATTTTTTTATACAGATATTTTCATCTTTATTTATATTCAAAACTTGAACTTTTTTTCAGTCAACATCAGATAATTATGAACGTGTGGCGAAGCTAAACTTTTTATTGAAATTTT